CCCCCCCTTTTCTCTCACTCGCTCTGCATGCAATCTGGGCTGACGGATGTTATCCCGGGAACAAGAAAGAAGACACCTCCTCTAAGGGCGCAGTGCTGCAGCAGGGGGAAGCGCTGCAGGTGACGCCACCCCCCCTGCTCGGCTCAGGGCGTAGTGACAGCTCAGACAGCACTTGGAATAAATGCATGCAGATGGCTCGCGATTGACACTTGCAGCTGCTGCTCTGGGAATGCAGCGGCCACCGCCGCTGCTGCAGATGCTGCTGCCTTAAGAAGGGATTTTGTGTAAGGCGGAGGCGTCGCGCAGCCGTCTCTCTCTCTCTCTCTCTCTCTCTCTCTCTCTCTCTCTCTCTCTCTCTCTCTGCAGGCCCCGCTGAAGGAGTCCGGTCGGCGCGTAAGCCAGCTCGAGGATTATGAGAGGGGCATCCTCTTATACAGGCGCCACGGCCGGGCCGGCCGGCCTCGCCGTCCCTGGCGATGACGGCATAGTGCAAATGACTCAACTAAGCAGCAACATAAAAAGACAACAACAACACCGACACAATCGACAGCAGAAAACCGTGTATGGAGACACCGGACAATCGATCACGCAGACCGTTCCGCTAATTAGCACAACGGAAAAACATATTTGTATGGGTTTTAGGAGGAAATTTCCATTTAGATATGCTGGAAAGTTACGAGACGCAATTGTGAAATTAAAACTTGTGGAAACACCATGCATCAAAACTTAACATTTTTCGCAAAGTAAAATTTACACAAGGACACTATTCGTGAATAAATAAATTTCCTAATGAATTTAGGACTGTATCGACATAATATTTTTGTCAAATTTTAGGAGTGTGTGGGTCAGCACACGTGTCATCAATCCACAGCGCTGTGCGAGGGAGTCCGCGGCCGGCGACATCAGAGAGCCTCGGGTCGAACGGATGGATAGATGGGCGGCAGAGGGCAAAAAGTTCCGAAGAACCCAGACATTTTTTTTTTTTTTACCTTCCCCGTCGGGGGCAGATAGGAAAAATCAGAACCACAGCAAAAAAAGGGAAAGTATAAAGTAAAAAGAGGGGGGAAGATAGTTGGCGAAATTTAGTAAGCGATGTACATCTTCGGGAATGGGAAGCGCGCTTAGCCCATAGGCGAGCCAGGGGGTCGTTTTATGCGAGACGCCTTTTGATGTTTCAAATTCGCGTTTGCGATTGAATTATAGATTGCGGCCGAGAAGGACATGGAGGGCGCTGCGACTGATAAGGTTTCCGGCGATAGCGTGTGGCGGGGTGAGGCGGGGGCAGGGCGGGGCGCTCCAGCCCCGTGCGGGTTGCCACCGCCGAGGACGCGCGCCTCGTCCCAGATAGGCTCTGGACATTTATCCCCGAGTTACGGGGACCCGGACCCTCTCGCGGCTGAGATCGAATGACTAGCTGGAAGGAAACTCGGCGAAAGAACGAAAATAAAAGTAGAAGTGTGTGAGTTGTGGAACAAATGGAGAGTAAGGGGAAAATGTACGACATATAGAAAAGGTTTTTGGACTTGAGATTGTATTTTATTTTTTAACTCCCATAATTTTCTTTCCTAAGTAGTTTATTTGTCTTCCCGCTTTTTTTCCCGCATCAAGCCAGTATTTAACTGTTTAGCATTTCTTTAGAATCAATTGGTGCCCAGACTGCTTTTGTTTTTCTTTTTCTTTTCAAATTTGGCAAACGCCGCGATGCGATGCGGACTGCGGGGGGTGTCGAAGCAGAGGCACCCGTGGTAAATGAACTTCTGGTGCCGCTGGCCCGTGAAGGCGCCTGGCATGGCAGCACACCGAGCAATGGTACACAGCTGACTTGTTTGCAAGTTTTTCAAAGAGAGGTGAATATTTACATTCCATATCTTGATACGAATGAAAAGGAGCCGTTTTAAAATTGGCCACCCGAAAGATACTAAAAAGATGGGTGCTTTTTCGTTCAGAAATCGTCAAATGATTAGTTGCAGTGTAGCACATAAGGAAGAACTAGCTGACTGTGAAAGGAGCCATCCAGAAAGACGTGAATTAATTGTCATCACGAGTTTGCCATATGTTGGAGCCGATGCACGCTCTCGTAGCGCCTGGTAGGTAGGCAACATCTGGCCTGCAGTGCAAGCGTGCACTGCCGGGAGGCCTAACCCGAGTCTCGCAGGCGCCGAGCTGCCGTAAGAATGAATCCGAGTAAAACAGTCGCACTTTCGTCGAGCGTTGCAGGTCGGTGTTGTTATTGGCAGTGTAACCAGGGGGAATGATTAATCGCTTTCTTTCGTCCAAATGAGATTGATGGTTCCGCACAAAATGAGAAAACTCCACAAAGAACAACAAAAATGCATTAGAAATGAAAGGAGGAGTAAATGCGGCTCGTCTTGTCTCTCGTGATTTGAGTGGTATCCGTGATTTTCTAATTTCACAAGATAAATGGTGATGGACATTTTTTTTTTTTTGGCTTGACCAATTGAACAACAGCACCACTGTTGGCTAACAGTTTTTTTAATTTTTGTTGTTGTTTGATTTCAGCGTGCCGTGGACGCGCGCGCGGCGGCCCAGAGAGGGACATTCATTCGGATGAGCCCCGGGGCCGTCACAGCCACCGGCGAGCGATGCGGTTAGCAGGAAAAGATTTTCTGCGCGCGGCGAGGTGGGGGCGATCCACACACACGCTCTATATTTCTCCTCCCCGAGACCGAATCTCAGCAGGCGATGAGCAGCTCGACGAAAACATAAACACGATAAAAAAAGGACGAAAGGCAAACAGGACAATTAAAAAGTCAAATTAGGCAGGTCGCATCTTTTGCATCGCCCGACGCGCGGCAGTGTGACAAACTGCGGCGGTACCGATTATAGCGGCGGGGGCGGGGAAGACAAGCAGTGAGAGATACGAGATCGGGAGTAGGGTGAGGGGGGGGGGGGGGGGGGGGGGGGGGGGGGGGGGGGGGGGGGGGGGGGGGGGGGGGGGGGGGGGGTCTGACAGGGGGAGAAGAATACACAACGAGGTTGGATCTGAGTGATTCACTTTTTAAAAGAAGAGCTTCGCGATTCGCTCCCGCACCGCAGGATTTGCGGGAAATAAATTACTATGACCTTACTAACAACTGCTACAGAAATATTCAGTAAAAACAACGCCCCCGCGGTACAGTTAAAGGAATGAAAAGCAATTTTCAATTGTTAGTAAGTGCAGCAACCATGCGTGGGTGTTATAGTGAGAGCACTGGGGATAAATAGGTGTTTTGTAGCATCTTTGCAGGACGGCTCAAGGAAATTGTGAGCTAATAAGCTCAAATGGCAAGGGACAATTTTTGTACCTAGGTTAGATGTGTCTTTGAGCACCTTCATCAGATAAATGCTTTTTTTATGTAGCGTGCATACAAATTTGTATCTGGTTTAGATGTGCACAAAGACACATCTAGCCCACGTACAAAAAATTTCCCTTGCCATTTTGTGTTTATTGTAGGTTTTTATCAATAAGTTGTTTGTGTACTCGTGTTCTTTTTGCAGAGGAAGTCACAAACACAAACACGCCACGCACACACACACACGCACACACATGGGGTCCCCCGGGGAGGGACGCAGAGGAGGTCTGAGATCTAGCGCCCCGTTAACGTAGCACCAAGACGAAGGCCGTAAAGAAGGGACTCCCGCGGGGCTCAAACCACAGCCGAATACATCGCGAGGCGTTTGTCACCAAATTACCGTATTAAAAGAAAAACTTTAAAAAATCTTTGTGCGCATTAAAAACAAAGGTGTTAAGCCGCACCTTTGCGAGAGGGGTTAAAGGAAATTATGAGCTTAGTGCCTTTGTAAAGGCACTAGCCATAACAGTGCTAAACAAAAGTGCAGTTCGGTTCGTCTCACTCTGTCACACAAAGAAGACAATTTATAATGACAATAATTAGTTGCAAGCAAAACAGGCAAATTAGGCTGCTCTACCCTCTTCCGATACGGAAATGAAAAATCAGCTGTTCTGAGAGCGTGGCATGCGTGGCAGCGGCGGTCAGCCTCCCAGCGCACACTTCGTGCCGCGTAGCAGCCAGCCTTCGTCGCGTGCTTACTCTCCCCCCCCCCTCTCTCTCTCTCTCTCTCTCCCTCTCTCTCTCTCTCGCTCTCATACCTCGCTCGGTGCCGGGGTGCCTCCAGGCGTGGGCGGAGAACTGGAAGCACCATCCCAGATGGTCCTCTCACCAGAGGGACCCGGCCCGGCCCAGTTCGGCTCGGCTCGGCTCGGCTCGGCTCGACTCGGCTCGACTCGGACCAACTCGGGTCAGGTCATTCCACGGTCTGGTCGCGGCCAGCTGCGGACGATCAAAGAATGCAGCGGCTTATTCAAGGCGATTAATTCGGGTCGGACCAGTCGGAGGAGAGAGAGAGAGAGAGAGAGAGAGAGAGAGAGAGAGAGAGAGAGAGAGAGAGAGAGAACTGAAATCAGGATGAGAAACACATGCACGTCAAACACGAAAGTCGGAGACTTTCGCGCATTTGGACACCTTCGGCAGTTTCGAAGGATCGTGGTATAGCAGATTGAAAAATCAAATGTTGGCGAGTGAAAACACGTTTATAATATAGACTATGTATTGTACATACCAAAGCGCATTATTGAGTAACGACATCAGTCACGACTGTTTTTCTTCTGCGTTCGAACTTTACCAAATATTTCACACAATTACACGGTAGACAAAAAAACTCGGAATCCAAGGGGTGAAAAAAGAGTGAATTGCAATTTTTGAGGTATATTCTCGCTTTTAATGAATCGTCTCGATTTCGAGCATCCAAAGCCTGATTTCGAGCCGCTCAGTTCTGATTCCGAGCTAACGAGCTCGAAATCCGGGAATTGTTTTCCGAAAACAGGTAAACTGGGGTGACTCGGTTTTAGAGACACGATTACACGATTTCGAGATCGGTAGCTCGGAATCAGGGCAACCTCGGAAATCGAGATTCCCAGCTCGGAATCCGAGTTTTTTGTTTACCGTGTACATGTGAACAATTGAACACTCTTTATTTTATTTACGGTAACATATCCTGGGTGAAGAGAACGTCTCTTGCAGGGATCGAAGCAGCGCTGCCTCAACGCCGAGCGGTGCCTCGCCGCCTTTCTCGAGAGCAGATTAGCTCGGCCAGCTCTTGAGAGACAATCGGAGACCTACGGAGAGCGAAGTCAGACGGCCGGCCGCCACCTACGGGACTTGCTCGCGCAGCTCGCTCGACGCAGGGCTCCACCCTGCTCTGTGCTCCACCATGCCGAATGGAGTTGCCAGCATAATGGAGCTGACAACCCCGCTTGGCGGGAGAACGGGTCTGCTTTTCAGGCTTTCGCGGAAAAAAATATGACCAAAATGGTCTAAGAGTTGGCAGAAGAAGTTCAAGTAACAAAGTTGACACTGCAAACACGTTACCGGCGATGTAAGCAGCAAAGACAGGCATTACATTAGTTAGGGCAAATGGTTTGTGTTTCGAATCCCGAGGGAGATTTTTTTTATAATTACGATGATGATTAAGGCCCCCCGCCGCTTGAATAAGTCCTAAAAGTTTTCGAAGAGGCGCTTCGAACGGAGACCCCTTCGTGGCCACGAAACTAGTTTTAAGTTCTGGGGCAATAGGCACCGAAAAAGTGTGTATCTGACTTAAAAATTCTTCCACCGATTTGTCCCGGATTAAAACGTCAAAAATATACTTGCTTATTATAAAGCTAACATCCTTCCCAACCGCAACACGTTCAATGCAAACTGTCCACGCGAATGGCATTGTATTGATTTCATTTATAAAAAATGAAGGAAGCACTCTACTTTCTGTCAAACCATATAAACCCTTAGCAATGTATTCCGATGCTTGATCACGATGCTTTAACAGTAAATCTAAGTCACTTTCCAGCCAGTCCTGCCAGGAGTTTATCTCTCCGTTTTGGGTGGCGATGAGCCGTAAGAGCTCCCCTTTATAGCCGGCAACCACAACCAAGCAGGTAAGCAGCCACCCTCCGAGGACGGCTACCTGCGGCCCAGCCCACCTGTCGTCCAACGGCTGCCCCAGCAGAGGCGAGAGCGCCTGGAGGAACAGCTCCTGGACACTCTCGTCGTGACGCATGAGGTACAGACAGGCCACCACGGTGAGGACAGCAGCCAAAAGGGCAGCCCAAACTGCGGGCGTGTACTCGGCGGTTAAGGGGTACAACACAGGGCGTGGTTTACCTGCACCGGCAGGCACTACGCAAATCCAGTCATCAAGCACCCAAGGAAACAAACTTAGTTCGGCGTGAATCACAAAATTTACGTCACGAATCTGAGCCCGTACCGGAAACGCTTGTAAGCTGAGGCGGCACGCGTCTGCTGCCCCCAACGGCCCCATCTCTTCAAGTGCAATATTATACCTTGTCTCAAACTCTAAACCGTAGGTGTGTCTCAGCAATCGCAGTACCTCAGACACCTCTGACCCTGTGAAACTACGGATTGTGGGTCGGTACGGATGGTATATAGACAAATCGGCGATTAGAGGTGCTCCGTTCGGAGGGGGCCGCCAGGATGCGCATAACGGTGGGAACAGAGACACGTTCGGGGCCGGCCAGCCAGCGCCGGGCGTCCAAACGCCCACCAATCTTTTGATAGTATCGGTTGCTACCCCCAATGAGCAAGGCATTGGTATGTGAAAGACGTGCGTCGTCCCCCTCTGACGTGCCGTTACAAACACGTGAAAGAATTTATGGCACGTGTCCTCGACCGATAATTCAGACATGAGAATATCGGCCTGGTCGTCCGAATCGAATGACACCCAATTGATGAGGCGCACTCTAAGAGGAACACGCAGTGGGCTTTCATCGCCACCGATGCGGAGCACGATGGATGCAGACGGCATCATCTCGGCCAGAAGAAAGTCCACAGGCTGAAAGCGAGACATGAAAATTTAAAATGTGTCCACAATCGGATTGTTCTAGAAACATGTTTAGCAATTTTTCTATGTCAACCTTGCTGTTTTACTGCTAAGCAGGCTTTTCCAAATAACAAGGCTCACGAGCAGGTCGCAGTGTTAAATTGAATCTTGTGTAAGAACGACGATTGACAGTGCCGCGCATTTCCACTATTCGATTGTTTCATCTGCTGTATACCCTTAAATTGGAAAAGACTACTGCTCAGCCCCTAAAGTTAGTAGTTTCTGGCACGATACCTCTTCCACGTTTTCTTCCGTTGTTGTGCACAGATAAATCGAAGCAACGCTTGGAAATCGACGTAAAAACTCATCCAGCCAATCGGTAGTGCCAAACACGAACAAGCGCGGTGGGTAGACGGCTGAATCATTGTCAGCACGTTGGAAGAGTGGTGGTATCAGAGTCAGGGCGCACGGGACCTCGGGGTGACGTACTACACGAGACGTAATAACCTAAAGAAAATACACAGATTCAAACATTCTCGCTTCTAAACGGTACTGGATTTGTATCCTTAAATCAGCAATTCTTTGCACTCATTTCTGCTATGATTTGAACACTCATGAGCGAGCCTATGAGCGACAGGTTACAGCAAAATCGTGCAATTTTGAGCACAAAATCTATCCGAATCGAAACGTAGGTTTAACTTAGCGCAAACGTTTGAACAAAAACACACAAATACTATACTAGAAAGCTATTTTTTTAGCCGACACATTGTATGTGAATGCTGTTGGAAACATTGCACCATTTACACAGATGTGATTCCAGAGTTAAAAGCGTTGAGAGGAGGGAGCTCTGGAATGTGCTGAGAATAAGATCCAATACTAGACGGAAGAAAGAGCTACCAATTTAGCAAATAAATACTGTTACGCTACCCACATTTCAATTAAAGTACTGATATGCACTCGAGCCTCACCGTGATCGCATTGGCTAAAGCGTCCTCCGCGGCTAAGCAGAGAAATAGCGCTGCTAGTGCTGTACTGCCAGTCGACATGCTGGTCGCTTTCTGACTCGGTTGGAGTAGGGGAGGAACCCAGCGAAGGACAATATCGACGCTCAGCTCAACACTCTGCGCATTCGCAGTACATGACTCGAAACTATCGAAAGCCCCACTTTCAACTTCAAAAACTCGTCACAGGTAATGTGTTTGAGAGTGCCGCGCTTTTCCTCTTTTCGATTGTTTCTCCGTGAAGTCCCATAGAAGGTTCTCCTTTGTACCGTAAATACACATGTGCCGCGTGATGGCGGCGCGGCAACCAATTTTCGGTCTGTTCGTCTAAAGCAGGTCGTACAAAGTGTAGGTCGTACCTAAGAAATGTTTGCAACCCCTTTCGGAAGGCCAGGCACTGTGAAGAATATCGTCGTAAATTTATACAAAAATTTTGTAAACTCGAATTATAATTTAAGTTGTACATTTACGAGAGCAGATTTTTTACTCGCCAATGGATTTTAAGTCGATACGTACTGCATGTATTTTTACGATTTCAAATTGTGATTTTACAACTTGCGTCAAGAAAAATGTTCCTGTAAACCTACCTACTATTTCTCACAGTGGGTCGTGCAAACGCTGGTCGTACCCTGAATGGTATTTTTCGTGTTATAACAGCCCTGAATCGTTCAAATTGTGAACACGGTGTTCATAATATAAAGGGGGGGCGTTCGAAAACTTTCAAGAGTGCGGCTATACAAGAATACGGCGGTCGTTGGAACAATTATTTTCAGTGTAGACACCCAACCTGCAGGCTAAATGCATTTTGTATGACTTGGTGCGAACGTTGGTAAGGTAAACCTACGTTACGTTTACTACCACTGCAAATACTTATATTTGCATGTTTCGCACAACCCACCCTCATTCTAGAATGAGAATGCCCCAGTTGGGTCAACATGGTACAAGTGTGCAAAATGATAACAATCTGTCGCAAGTTGACAGTTATAACACGGTGTTCTTCAAAGCAAAGAAGCACTTCTTTTTTGCACAGCTCTCGTATCGGTCATTCCGACGACAGCGGCCGCGTCGGCGGCCCCAGGCCCTTAGGCCCTTTCGACGGACATGATCGCCATCGACACATCGCGATTGCTTTCGTCTCTCTCTCTCTCTCTCTCTCTCTCTCTCTCTCGCTCTCTCTCTCTGGCGTGTTTCGGCAAGATGGTCGTCAGGCGTAAGTCGGTGCGAGATGGACAAAAAGACATGTTTCACAATTATTGTTTATATATTTTCTAACGTACCTCACTATTTTGACATGGTGTTGGGTTCCCCACATGTTCTCTCCGCGTCCTCAGCCTCAGCTTCACCTCGAGTTCACAAAAAACCCTCATCCGCTTTTCTTTTCCGTTCGATTGATTTCCCGTCGTCCAGGAAAAGGGAGTCGGACGCCGCCGTGGCAGCCAACAAGGCCCTCTGGGAGGAGCACTGTTAGTGCAGGTACGCCCCATCCCCCAACCCCCTCATGGGGCACTCTGCCAGTCAGCCGTCCCTTACCGCACCATCCCTTACCCCGCAATCCCTTACCTCACCATCTCCTACCCCACCCCACCGCCTGCGGCCCGGGCCGATGCCGATACCCCGCAAGCTCTGGGGAAATGTAAAACGCTGCTCGTCATGTGACGCTGTATATACGTTTCGAGGTGAAACACAAGAAAATGCGGTGAGGGAAAGGCGGAAAAGCGGCGCGGGCACTCGGGACGGCGTTTCTAGCCCAGCTCAGCGAAATGAAAATTACATCAGATATAGCTGCGACTTTTCCTCCTACCGCTTCAAGAAGGAAATAAATGTGAGGAATTCGTCGACGCGGGGAGAAATGAAAAATAACAATTATGTTTTGTTTCCGCGGAGAGCAAGTAGAATAGGTTTCTTTCTAGAAACCTCCCAGGTATAAAATCATATTGGTAGAGCAGAGGTACATAAGGCCCCCCCCCCCATTTTTTTCTCTCCTGGCTGCGGCTCTCCACCAGAGACGCTGCTGGAGGGAGGGAAAAAATTCCCCGCCGGGGCAAACCAGATTAGCTTACGGCACTGCCTCGCCGGCCGCACCACGGCACGCCCGCAGAGGACAGCAATAATTATGGACCATATTCATTTCCAGCTCCAGAGCTGCGCCCGGCTGCGAAGCGGGAGGGGAGCCCTTTTTGACCGAGTTACGCGCCACTGACGCAGTGTGCTGCGCTATGTCTGTGGCAGTCCGCCAGAGGGAGAGAAAGAGAGAGAGAGAAAGAGGGAGACTACTGCATCAAGGACACTAGTGGCATATAGACTCTCCACCATCACCAGCATGACCACGCCCAAACAGTACAGAGATTCTGCGATTTCTTGAGAAAGCGTCCCCGCTGCTGTAAAAGTATATACGGACGGAACTCTATAGTTGTGCACTTGTAAGTGTGTAGCTCCTTTGTTGAACACTCTGCTCTTAGATGGACGCTTACAGTTTTAAGCGTATTTCAGGAGTCTAAACTTTGACATATTGCTGTCGAATGATATTTTTTAGAGTAGCAGACCTTCCCCTTTTCCCCCTGCACGCCGCCCCCGCCGCCTCCAACGCCCCCGCCGTCCTCTACCTCACCCGCCTTCCATGTTTCATCCGACGTGGTTCCTGTGGCAAGTTGGCACCTAATTAGAGACCCGGCCACCGCCACCATATGAGCCGAGCCCAACACGTGACCAGAATGTGACCAGGGAGAGAGAGGGGGGAGTGAGAGAGGGGGAGAGAGAGAGGAGGAGAGAGAGAGAGGGAGAGAGAGAGAGAGAGAGACGATGTGAGCGGGCTAGCTATCAGTAGATGCTGCCCGTAACACCCGTCACCAATTCTCATTATTTCGGCGGTCATCCTCTTGCCGTCCACTCAACAGAGATGCTGGAGCGACCGTCTATACGACGCAATCATCGCGCTCAGATTTTCTCTCCGGCCTCGCACTCCAGGACGAGGATATGCGCGGAAGGATACACATACCAAACCCGCTACAAAAAACCAAAAAATGGAATTCCGTTATTAATAGCCTTGAATGACGTCAGAAGTTTTCGGCGGTGCACATGCAAATGTTTAACGCTACGTTTCACACTTTAACGTGTTCGACTGGATATTTGAATACTAATAATTGTTAAATAGCAAAGTTGAACACTTCTAAATATACAACTCTGGTGTTGGCCATAATGCTTTGGACACTTTAAAGTGTTCAGATTCATAATGTTAAACACCTGTCAGTATTCACCACAGTGTGCACCATAGTGTTGAACACTACAATGTGCATGCCAGTTGCACACTTTATTCTTCAGTGTGTATATATATATAGCCGTGCCAGGTCCACTTGACCCTTTATTCCCCGGTGCCTGCTAATTGACCTCTTTGAAGAGTCGAGTGGTCTGGTCAATGTGGAATCATTGATTCCCGCACGTCCCCGGGGGCGCTCTGTGCCCCTCCCCGCCACGCCCCGCCACCATGCCCCCTCTATTTATTCCTATATAGTCCTCCAAGGTATGTCAATGCCCGCATACAAGCCAGAGCCACTGCTGCTGCTGCCGCCGCCTCAAAAGAAATTATGGTAATACACCCCGCGGCCGAGTACACTGCTGGAAGTTATGCGCGAGGCGGGAGAAGCTCATTTGAAAAACCCGCGGCACGCACAGCGGCGCGAGCGCGCGCCCGCACTTTCGTTTTCAGAATATTTATTATTTCCCGCTCTACTCTATACTTTTTCGCGCGGCGCGGGCGACCTCAAAAAAAGGGCATAAGCACGGGCGCCGCGGAAAATAAAAGAAGAGAGTAAATAACAAAATAAAATAAAACGTCGTGGCGCTGACGGAGTTCTAGTTAGGCTGACAGGTCGCCGCTGACAGCTTGGCACGTATCACGTAGGAATTACTCACGCACCCCCAACAGGCCGTGAGGGATCGGGGCGACAAGGAACACGTCCCGGCGTGCGCGCGCCTCGAGGGCCGCGACCGCGACGCGGGCTACAAGACCCGCGGCCCGGGCTACAGTGTAGCACACAAACAAAAAACATTAATAACCTTAAAAAAAAATAAAAAATAACAGGTGTCCCTGGTCACAACAGAAATTAAGTCTGACATAGGAAATGGCAACTATATTTTTCTAAAAAAAAATATTTCTATGAAAATGACAGGTATGTAAATGCATAATTTAATTCTGTTCTTTTTTTTCGATAACGTATATCACGGTCGATAAGAAAACAAACTGTCCGTGCGCTGTGTGCTGGCCGGGCCCGGCGGCGCAGACAAACGGCAGCAAGTGCTCGGAATGGCCGGCGTGCCCGGTCGCCGGGCGTAGTGCTGCGGTGTACCGAGGAACTGGCTAATTCGGGGACGTTCCGGGAGTATTAATGCTCCCGTCGAAATGTGCACCGCGGCCCCCGCCTGCCAGTGTCCAAAGAGAAACGGAAGGAGAGAGAGAGAGAGAGAGAGAGAGAGAGAGGAAGGGCGGCCGAGGCGCCAGCGCGGCCCACACCGACGCCGAGTGTTAAAAATTTAATCCGATGGGGTAACGGCCGGCCTTTCCTTATTATTCACGGCGAGTCGCAACGTAAAAATAAACTTTATATACACTGCGGGGAAAACGGCGGGACTAATTTCATAGAGTGGCAGAGTCCTGCCCGGCGCCCCCTTCTCTCTGCTACTACTTGGGAGTTAAACTAGATTTTACGCGGCTGGGTCTGCTACCGCGTTGAAGGGGAGGAGGGTGGAGGGGACAGACCTGCTGGAAACGAGAGAGAGCTAGAGGGAGAGAGAGAGAGAGAGCTAGTTAACGACGCCAGTGCGATCACAAATTGAGAGGGTGCAGCAGTAGGATGAGGGGGGGGGGGGAGTGAGACCAAAGCAACCACCGGACCCGTCGAGGCCCGCTTGCACTATTGAGGCGGTCTTGCGGTCGTCGCCGCCGGGCTCCTCGCGCGCCTGTAGAGTGACGGCTAGGCCGCCCCGCCGCGCACCCCTGGCCAGGGGGTTGCCTACCTAGCGTGTGCAATAATTAAGCGGCCTGTTTTTTTTATTTTATTTTTTTTGTATTGTTTCTGGTATACTGTGGTACTCGGCATATGCAAAACTCCCCCCCCCCCCGGCGACAGATTCTGCACATGTCCGTCGCCTTGCGCCGCACATGGAGCTGCTCGGCGCCGCGGGCCCCGCGGGGGACGTGGTCGTGTGCCCCAGGACCTGCGGGGACTGACACGGGCTTTATCCCCTTTTCCCCCACCACGCCCCACCACGCCCCGCCACGCCCCACCACGCCCCGCCCCGCCACGCCACGCCATCCCACTTCGTACTACCTTTTCATCAAAGCCCTTGCAGAGCCGCACCTGTAATCCCTACCACAAACCAGAGTTCCGACCGAGCAATCCTGCATGCTCTTCTCTCCCCGCAGCAGCCGACCGACCCTCCTCCGCGCTTGCGGGAGCTCCCGGCACAGAGCCGCGCCGCGGTGCAGGGAGCAAGGGAGGAAGGGATGCAAAAATCACACGCCTTCGCTAAAAAAAAAATAGGAAGGGGGTGAGGGTAATTACCGTAATTACTACAAGGGCCAGAGAGAACCAGACCGGCGTTTAATTGTATTATTTGGTCGTCTGAATGTTGAACACACGGCGCACGAACGAAAGGCAGCACAAGTTTGAACTTCTTGAACTCTTCTAAAAACAATTCAGTGAAAACTAGTGGTAGGGTTTAACGGGAATTTTTTTTCAACGAAGCGTGTAGTCAAATTCCAAATAAAAATGTTAAAATTTTACAAGTTATACGCATCGACTTGAAATTGATCGACGCGCAAGATGGGCTGTCGTAAATTTAAAACATGTTTTGTAAATAAATTACAAAATACACCGTAAGTTTACGAGGATATTTGTCAGAGTAAAGAGCCTTGGATCCTTTCTTTTTTCGAATAGATCAGCTTCGAACATTTTGAAAAAAAGCATCATCGGTTCTAAAGCGAAAATAAAGATTGTGAAAAATATGCAGCTTGATCTGAAGTACACTTTGGCAAGTCTTGTGTACTTAGTGCGAGTCTCGACTATGCAGCCGAACGATCATTTTTTCCCGTGCGCTGTGGTGTACTTTTCCCCATTGTGCCCCCTCTCTTTCGCACCGCCCAGCAGCTTCCCCCCCC